GCAAAATAGGAGTTGTTGATACGCATGAACTCAGCTCTGGTGCCCAAAAAATACTAAATATTTAACATAAACTGAAACTTGAATGATATGTCGACATTTGTAATTTCACAGGAGTAATTTTAATGCAATTTTACATCACTGGGCAGAGATGTGTGCTAGACACGGATGATCATAAAAATTTAAGATTGACAACAATGGAGGAGTCGCTTGTTGGAGTTCTCGTATTGATGAGTGATGGCCGGCATCGGTTTCGCAACACTCAACACTCGTCGGCTCGGCCACGCCAACGGTGAAAGGAGGGTGGAAGGGCGAGGGTGGCCGACTGAACAGGGATTAGGGATATCATTGAACTAGCATTCGCTCCGTTTAATCCCAAATCGCATCGATTGGCTTATTCAGTCTACCATGCAGCGTGACCGCGTCTTAGCCAGGGACTTCATCATATATCCTTTGAAATAAGGTCAAAAAAAGGATTATAATATACGACCCTTAAAGGAATTAATACCTTTCTGTTTGGATGTTAAAAGTACCGTCCATCGATTTTTAATTGATTCTACCAAACTCCGCGACCTTTGTCAATACGTAAAAACCTATCAATGTACCGAGTTTATTAGGAAGGAACCAACCCACATATTGCGTTAAAAATTGAGTTAAGAATGTCTTCTAGTATTATTGGCCATTTTTATAGTTTCTCCTGCCAAAAACTAAAAGTCAAAAACATATATTAGTATGTGAAAAAAAGGGGACAAAGTTTATTTTCTACATTGAGCCGTAAGCAGGAATAAAACTTCAAACATATTTTTTAGTTTTCAACTAAATATGTGGGTTGGTACCTTCCTGATGAACTCCGTCCAAATATAAACGTACTTTTGTTAAAGGTTCATAAATTACGAAACGCTCTAGGGCAAGGAGAGAGGAAGTTGATGACAGCATTTGACATTTTTGTTTTTACGCGTCAAATGATAGGAACCTACGTCAGAAAAGCGTTGAATTGGAGAGAGGGAGGTCAAAAACGCCGAAAAATAGCGTTACATAATTTACGTAGGTACGATCTCTCACAGAAAAAATATTAATGCAATGAGAAAATTACCCTGTGCATTTCAATAGATCCGTTGAACACAAGAGATACAGATGACTGAACAAATATTTTAGAGATAAAACCGCCCCATAAATTAAGATGGCAACTTCAAAAAGTGATCACCATAATTTTGAACAAATGGCAATGCTCTCGAGGTATGAGTAGTAAGGAAACTGCACTTTCGGATTCAGGTCCCCCCCCCCCTCAAAAATAATGAATTAAGTGAAAACCCAGCTGCGTTCCTAGAATTCCCGCTAAGCTTACCAGGCCTTTGGACTATCTCACAAATCTCTTCCTGAGGTCAAAGGGGTAGCGTAACAGTTTCCATCTGGCAAGTCAACCGTGCAAGAAAGCAATCTCGGGAATGTAAGTGGTATCATTCTGGAGGCGACTCAATGACGTTTCTTCGAAACAAGAAGATAGACAGGAGTTATCAACAGATTGTAAAGTTTTTCATTTTATATACATTTTTCACCCATATTTTCCAACCCCCCATCCCCAAATTTTAGCTTAATGAATTGATTTCCTCCTATACGCTTTCATATCCATGTTTCTTCTTTTCGTAACCTAATTCTGCCTTGTTCATAATCGGCAAAAGTAGTTCCGACCTTAACGTCCCAGACAGGCAAATCTAGTAGGACCCCCTGCAAAAATGTTTTTTAGTTGCCACCAAAAATAAACACTTTAGCCTCCGCAAAACCAGTTTTGCCTAAAATCGGGTTTAAACGCTGACGGATAAACCGATTGATAACCAATGAATGAGTAGCTCGACCTTTAACTGCAACAGCTAAGCCGGGGTCATATCCAATCTAAAAACAATGCAGAAAAATAACTCATAAAGTTTCTGCTGTGGGCAGGCGGCACAGAACACCATTCGCGGTTTTTCTGTTTCCGCATTAATGCCTCTGATACATCCATTTTTTGCATCGCATACAGGGTTCGTTTTTTTTCATACTCTCGCTCTTTAATAATATCCATCCTATTGAGTCGTATTCCTACTCAAAATTGGTTATAAATGAGTTGCGGCCCACATTTTGTTTGAATTGCAATCATATTTTTCATTGAACAATTATTCGCTATTTACATGAGTAGAAATTCCAAGTGCCCCCTTGATTCACATGGTCTCTGTTAAAAAGTTGAAGGTTTTAAAGGGGTCTGCAAACCAACTAGCGAGCATAGTTCCGAAAATACTCGGAGGTCGTTTAAAAATAAACAGTTAGGCAATTGTTACTTTTTGACCTCCATAACTCCTCTCCCCGTGTCAGGCACCCTTATTACATTTTTGTTACAGTTAAGGCATGATAGACACCTCTTTCTACCGACCAGACCTGAAATTTGGAAGATCCCACCTCCTAAATCCTAAAATTACACCAGAAAAATATCTTCCCAAAGAATTTTGAGAATTTCCCTGGTTAGGACTTGGTTTAGACTATTTTAGAAACTTAATCTCAATCAAAAAGGTCAATTCCCTGAGCAATCGACTTTTTCTCCGAGAGTGAAATTTGTGCTCGGCGAAAGTATGAGCACCCTCGTAAAAATTGGCGATAGGAGCTGCGTTTCAAAATACCATTGGAGTTCTTATAGCCGACTGAGGGCGATAGAAAATCATCTAGCTGGCTGTAGAAAGTGGAAAAAATCATACGGCCGGGCTACACGAAGCGATAAAAAATTATACAGCCGGGCTATAGTTCCTATCGCTGAGCTTTACACTTTATCGCCTGGCTTTTGCTTTTTCGCCATCGGCTATAAAAGGCTATAAGAAATTGTGTAGAAATTCTTGTGCTTTGTAAATCCTTAAGTTTGTACGGAATCACCTTAATTTTTACAAAACGCACATTATATTTTTCTTTACTACATTTTTTTTCTTTTTCATCTATTAAAATGAGAATAATCCATACAGAGTGTGCAAACATTTCAAAGTCATGAGTTGAAAAACGCTGACTCCGCGAGATTAAATATTAGAGCCCAACACAAAGCGGAGCGGCGGCGCACTGGCGCCTACAAACCTAACAGGGATACTTCACGCATTGCGGAATGCGTGAAGTATCCCTGTTAGGTTTGTAAGCGCTAGTGCGCGTTTAGCGCTGCCCGCCCGCCCGCCGCGCCGCAGCGTACCGCGGCGCTTGAAGCAACTATTTCACACCAGAGGTATTGCACAGTATCATACGAAATTGAAGGCGCTCCAACATATTATGGAATGGCAGGCATCCTTCAAAAGTACGGAGCTTTCCTCGCAAATTGAATCAAGGTACTGCGGCCCAAAAAGAGAGCGGTATTCCAATAACTCACTAAGTCCTAGCATCCGTAATTAGTATTGTTTAGCATACACTTTATCGCCAGGCTGTTGCTCAATCGCCATCGGCTATAAGAGGCTATAAGAAATTGTATTGCCGGCTATAGAAGCTATTGGAAATCTTACAGCCGGCTGTAGGTCTAAGATATTTTGGATTCTACTGCCAATTTTTACCAGGGCAAAGAGTTGCCGTGCCCTCAGTTGCGGAGTCCCCAAATAAAGTGGCAGCCCTGTCAATGCATTTGCTCTCTATCTTTGCATGGAGAGTTTGTCTTTGATATATAGGTGGACTCTCAGGATAGCATGGGATATCCCCTCCATTTTGGCCTCAACTTGAGAGCTTTTTTCGAACTTGGGAGTTAATTTCAGAGAAAACCAGTGGCACCATCGTGTTTCTCGCGAACTTTTACACAAGAATCAGTAGTCAAATCGCAAATTCCTCACACATGCAACATCTCCACACCGCCCATGTCTGCTCAAGTGGGACAAGAAGCGAAGGTGGAAAGCGACTCCGCACAGTGGATCGAGTCAATCAGAGAGGTCGGACATAAAACGTTCGACTAAAACCGCAACTTTCGATGTTTATTTCGTCACATTTAAAATTGTAAGGGGAGCTCCTAACAGAGATTTAAGCGAGGCAACCAATGGAACCTCTTTCAAAAGCTCTAAGTTTTGTGTGTGAACAGAGTTATGAGCTTTTCAAGTTTCCAAATTTTGCCCGACCTCCCCCATTAACTGGATCCGTTGGACGTATTCCTATTCATGCTAAATGGACGTATTTCTGTCAAACGAAACTAAGCGACAATTTGAGTTCCTTTTGAGGAATTTAGAATACCGAATAGTGCATTCTGTCAAACGGAACTAAGCGCCACGGGAAAGCATTGCGATTATAGGACGGAATGAGCTTGACGCCCGGATCCGCCGCCAATCCAAGCCCCCCTCTACCTTCCTCCCCCTATGCCGCTTAGTTCCGTTTGACAGAAATACGTCCAAATGGAACTTTGTGCAGGTGGAAAGATTGGGTGTGCTCGTTAGTTGAAGGCCGTAAGAATGAATGGGGATTGAAAAGCGCCCGTGGCGTCAGCGGCGACGAGGGAAACGACGATCCGCCGATCTGAGTCTTTGACTCATGAGCCCTGTCCACAACGCTCTTGTCACATGTCCACGGCTCACGAGTTACTTTTGATTTAATGTCGAATCCCGCTTCTCCATTTTCTGAAAAGGAACTATATCCAATTTTACATTTTTATGTATCCACTTTTACACTTTTACACTTTTACATTTATTACACATTACATGTTTCTTATGCAGCTCCCACGAGCACATCCCATCTTTCCATTTGCACATAGTTCCTTTTAGCATGAAAACGTCCCATTGTGCTCGGGTGCGAATCTTCTGGTCGGTGACTTGTCGGCCGAGGCCGGGGATGAGGACGGCGATTTCCGGTCGGTTCATCGGGGCGGATTAGACGACTCGTGACGCAACCCCGAGTCTAGGATTAGTAGCGGGCTTCATTCAAGCCCGGGGCCGCGGGGGGCGCGGGGGACCTGCGCCGGGGGCGGCGCCGCTGCGACGGGCGACGGCGTCGCGGCGCGGCGCACGCCGGCGCGCAGTCCGTGCGTGGGCGAAACCCCACTGGTCGCGCCGACCGCCGAGCTTCGACATTCGTACCCCGTCCGCGATCCACGCGACGCCGACAAACCCGCGAACCCGCAACCCGCAGTGATCCCATGTAACGTGTTCATCGCTCGCGCAACCTTAGTGTTTAGTGCTCCCCTCTGTGTTTTATTTTTTTTTGTCTTAGTGTTACTTCCGCGTGTAAATGGCGACCTTTTTGGGCACCTTGTGTTTCCTGTTCCTCCTCCAGTTGATCCTGGGCAACTCGCTGCCGGAGTCCAAGTCGACGGGCGTCCCGACGCCGCGCGACGCCTCGGAGCACGCCAAGAACTACCGGGTGCTCCAGAAGCGCACCTTCGAGCGCGGCCGCGATCTGAAAACCGGTTCGGTGGAGCGCGGCGCCGAGCAGCAGCTCCCGTCGGCGGCCGAGCGGTGGCTGCTCTTCGAGACGGCCAACCACGGCGTCATCGACATCGACGGACTCCCGCCGACGAACCGGTTTGGCCACCGCTACGGCCACCACGACCGGGACCGGTTAGGCCCTCATCAGCAACGAGAGAAACAGGATCTAGTCCACGATCATTCGAACCCGGAACTGTGTCCGGACAAGCGAAGCAAGATCCATTTCATGAAAAAGGCCCCGCTGAAGAATCTAAAAGACAACGCCTCCAACGACCCCGAGTTGGTGTCGCTCTGGAAGAAGAAACCGGTTTGGAGCCGGGAGGCATGGCAGAAGCGGAGTTACTACGACCGGTCGCGGCCCAACTTCTGGGTGCGGGAGGAGGAGCCCAGTCATCATCATCATCATCCGAGCCTCCACCCGGAGGATGACGGCGGGGGGACACTATCGGTTATGACGCAAGGACTCAGCAAAGAAATAGCCAACCAATTTATTCACAGGTCGCCCCGAGGGAAGACACAGTATGATGTTCCTCAAATAGGTGAGTTCCTAGATCCCTTCATTTTTTAAAGTCAAGTGGTGTATGCTTCCCTACAGCGTTCTTTCTTTGGAAGATTCAGGAGGCTCATCATTGAAATGGGTCGTATTTCTATCAATTAGATTTATGTGGAGGTGAGAAATATGGGGTGTGCTCGTTAGTTCTCTGGCCGTGAGAGTGAATGAGAATAATAAAGCGCCAGTGACGTCAGCGGCAATGATCGAACGCGAGCGCGAGGGGGAGATCGTCGTCGGGGCGCTTAAACTCATGAGCCCTGTCCACAACGCTCTCTTGTCATGCCCGCGGCTCATGAATCCCGTATTCAGTTGGCGCATAGTTCTCTTTGCGGAATTTAAAATCCCGCTTTTCCAATTCTTCAAAAGGAATCACGCCCACTGACCACAATGTTTCTTATCCAGCTTTCTAGAGCACACCCTATATTTCTCACCTGCACATAGTTCTGTTCGATAGAAATACGTCAAATTGATCGACAAAGTTATAAACAAAGAGGATTAGAGAAAAGGGAGTGATCTTATTGGCGAAAGCGGGTGGTTGCAATAGATAAAGAAGGGAAAAAATAGACCGACCAACGACAACTCACGAGAGACCCTATAGGTAGTCCATCATATAACAACCACCCGTTTCAACCAAGAGGATTTTGTCTACTTTGTCATTTAGTATCCTTTGCCTATCGCTTTGTCTATTATTGTCATTAATCAGCTCGCCACATATTATTCGGTCAATACATATCTCTTTCATTTTTCTCCTAATGAAAGATTAGACTTTGTAAGAGTATGGGTCTAAAGGTTTTTCCTATTGCGTTTTCTCTCTTTTTGATGAAACTTTTCCTGCTTCACTGTGGAAAACTAGAATTTTGAGTCTTGTGCATTAGATTGTCAATTTTCGTAAACTCTCCGATATCCTTAAATTACCATTTTGCCACTTATACAGTATGCTGTTTCATACTTTCACAAATTAAAAAAGCCTGGTGGTAAACTTGGCTGCCTGGCTGTATGAAATATCCTCAATAATTTTTGTGACAAATATCAGACTCTTGGTTGTGACAACTGTTGGTCCAGTCGATCTCTTAGAACAACGATACCGTAACATGGTAACTAAGGAAAACCTTCTTTGAAAGGAGGTAAAATTCAAGTTGATCGAGACAAATTTCAAAAAAGATCAACAAAGATCTTGAATAATTCAGTAACGTTCAACACCTTCTCCTCAAGAAATTTTGTCCATCTATGTTCTCTGTCTATTTTTTATCTAATTTTGTCTGAACTATAACTCAATAGAAATGATACATTGCATGGTCTTTTCGTGAATACATCTATTTTATTTGCTCTCCGTCTACAAGTGATTCCTGGTTTGCCGCTTGCAAAGTCTGACTTGTAGGACAATAGATCCTCTAAACAAGTCACCTACAAACGGATTACTCTCATAATTTGCTCAAAAACCGAGGAACGCGCTCAAGTTGAATTTTGTATCGTAACTTTTAGAGTTATGCATTTTAAACGCCGTTTTGCACCCAAACGTGCAGGTAAACGTACCATCGAGAGTAAGATATTAGCTAGAAAAGCGGAGGAGGCAGGCTATGATGAAATTAGAATCAGAGCTTTGAATATAACCTCTAATGAGGAAACTGCAAAGACGAAGAGAGTTTACTTCATTTAAATTTTCTTTTTGAAGCAATATTTGTTAAAGGTCTCTCGGTCTTCACATTAATTATTCTAACCTAGTATGAATTTTAATATCTTTAAGCGCTCAGCCAATAAGGAGCGATTTTTAGTTTTGAACTGCCAATAGAATTCTAGTATACCAGCGGCAATGCGTTCAAATGACGCACCGGCTCAACAAGATGGCGGATATTGGCCTCGCATATTTAGAATAGATTTCGGTTAAACTTTTATTCGATGTTTCTAATATCAAAGAGCGGAGGACGATAATAGTTTTTCTGAAAAAGTTAATTTTTTAAACGGTAGATTATCTTTCTCAGAATTTATAATTGAAATTTTGGCGAGGCGAGTTCTTTCAATCAACGGTGCTCGTCATATTCGAGGAGCTTAAAAACGCGCCTACACAAAAAACAGCTGAGTATGCAAACGTATTAGAGCTTTCCCGCTTCTTTTACATTGTATGCCTTTTTCTTTCACAAGTATCCTTTGTAGAGTTGATTTATTTTACTGATAGACATTCAACTTTGAAAGGAAGCCACAGAAATACCCCCATATCATGATTTTTCCGGAAAAGAAACAATTGCTCCATCTTATTACACCACATTTTTCAAATAATTGTCAGCAAAAAAACTTGATTTACTTTTCGTCCGATGAGCAGCATCCTAAAGGTATCTTGGAAATTTTTCTGGGAAAGTATCTCACGTTTAACCTCAAGATATACTCTTAGTTTGGGCTAACAAACATATTTTGGGTCGGTCAAGCGTCGGGCTTAGTAACTAAGGAAGTGTCCTTCTGGATATGAGTTAAAATAATCATATTTTATAAACTATTTTACTCCTTCTGGATTCTCATAGCCATCGAAACTTCTCATATTATCCTATTTAGAATAGTGTTCAATCTTATAAATTCGTCCCATATCCTTGAGTAATACCTTATTTTCAAAGAAATTAGGAAAAATATAGAATTGATGTTCCAAATCGAGTCAAAATATTCACAGTGAATCGGTAGTAACTCATTAGTTTCTGCCCAGAAAACTTATAATTCATTCAGTGTATTCATATTTTCTGCTGCAAAAGCAATGTAGATTCCGAATTCCACATTCCATGGAGAAAAAAAACTTTAATTTATACGGAGCCAAAATTCCCTGATTAATGTAACTGAAATATCCGGTTTTAAGGACAAAATTCGGTTCAATTTCCAAAATTGTGCGTTACTCATACTAAGATTAGTGTTTTTTACATAATATTTTTGTCACTACATTTCGGCCTCTAACTGAAAATTTATAAGCTCCAGAGTAACTGAAGTTCGGCACTGTGTACCGTGGTTTAGTTTTTTTTTCTTCTTCTTTTTTAAAGTAAATTTTCGCTATCGAGGTTTTAATCATATTCTACAGTTAAATACCACAGTTTAAAGCGCCCTGATATGAATAAAATCACAGACGCAGATCCTCTCTCCTTTCCAAATGAAGTAGCTGCTGCAACACTTCAAAATCTAACGCCTCCAATTATCCGTATCTGCAATACGGCCATCCTTCAATCACGAATAGTCGCATCCTAGCGCCGTGACGGCCATTGCGACTATAGCGTCTTATTTTTGAAACGTGATTATTTGAAAGAAGTATTCCTGTATAAGTAATCCTCTAACAGACTGATTTTCCGTAATATGTCCGATTGGGAGAGACTAGTTACCTGATTTGTTTCATGTTTTTAAAATAAAGCGACATAGGTTTTTCCAGAAATGAAAGCACAATGTTTCCGAAGTGGACCACCATGTGAAGACGTTGAGCTCCAAAAGAGCTTTGCATCGAAATTGAGCACATAATCCACACATTGCAAATTTCGAAATGCAACTTTTAAGTGTGAAATTAGCGTTTTCGTCAGTATAAAAACAGTATAACAGCAAATAAAAGCGTTGTAAAACTACGGAATACTACAGGCAATGCGTCAAAGATCGTGTTTTAGAAGATACAGAAAATCCGTCTGATGGATTGAAACAACTCCTGATAAGCGAGGCTAGACCAAAAATACATATCTCTTGCGAACAAAATTTCGGAAAATTCTAATAGCAACTACTGAATGCAACAATTCCTGCTGTACACTAGTAAAAAAAAAACCTCTTGGACCAATGCCGCATTGCATTGACTTAAGAGTGCAGTTTCTTGTCGCCGGATTTAAGAGTCTTGAACTCTTGTTTCAAGTGGATTTTGCATTGAAACAAGAGTCCAGACTCTTAAATTCGGCGACAAGAAACTGCAGTGTAAGGTTAACCATATTGCGCATGCTTTACATTGAGGGAATTTCCCTTTTTCTGCAGCATCTTTATGGCTGTACGTTTGCGAATGATCAAAATCGGATTTCTCGAGAATTTTGTCGAACTCGGTCAAACTATCGACGGACCAGACTCATTTTTCATAGGACTCCCCGAATTTTCATCATATTTAGATCTTATCATCCCGTCCTATTTCTTCCTCCTAAAAATGTATGGCAATTCTGCGCAAAGCAGATGTTTTGTATTTAGTATAGGATAACAACGAGAAAAAAGACTAAATAATGGTCATCAAGTTGGCAATGGCATTACTATGCCGCTCAGCTTCTCAATCCCTTCAAATCCAATAATACCTGAGGGTAATTAGCGTGGGACCAAACGACTGGCGGATCTTTTCCAGGCGGAACTGAATCAGGGAGGGAGCTCTAAAGAGAAATACATTTTTTATTAGTCCAGCCATCATGCCGTTTGCCTTGGATAAATAACTGATACAAAGAAATACATACGTTTTGCATTCGTTTCTCGATAGTAGCAATCTCTTTGAATTGTTTATTCTCTTTCCCGGTGTTTGACTTATCAAATATCATTTCTCTTGGGAATAGCTCCGTGAGGCTGCAATAAGGGAAATTAGTTTTGGTTGAAACGAAACAAATTAGATACTTTTTAAATTTTATTTTAAAGTATTACATTTATAGAAACAAGCATACCAGCATAGAATAGATAAGATTTACTACTGTGTATTGGAGCGCCAATGAAATCACTTTTTGAGGCTGTTTTGACAAAAACTCCTTGGAGTAGTAAGTGTGCGGTGACTGGCGATACCGTATGCGCGGGATCTCAGCTCTTGACTGAAAGTAAATACATTAAAATCCGAAATTCCAAAATAATATTTTGCCAAAATTATTGATTTAAGTTATAATTTGTCAAAATTTGCGAGAAATATTATCGATTTAAAATAATGAAGCCCGAAAACCACTCGCAGCCCACGCTTTTCCAAAAAGCCGTCGCGTTAAAAATGCACCGGAAAAAAGGTAAAAAAAGTGTGCGAGAACTTATAAAATG